CATGCACGCCTGCAGATGCCTGCTGAATTTAATGGGGCTCCAAGTGGCAACAGAGCTCTGCGCAGGTATGTTCATCGCGTGGCTGCTGTAGACTTTTTGACACCATTGAGTGTGTCCCTTTCAGGGATGTTTAATACATATCTGCAGTTGTGGAAAAATGGAAATCTGTAAAATAAGCCAAAATCTATCCATAAATAAAAGCATAAAACTGTACATTAATGCATGTCACTCGCTACTGAGTTAAAGTTTGGGATCTGACTCATTTTAGTAAAGATCTAGGGCTTGAAGGCAAATGCTTATCTGTAGAGGAAACAAAATTTCATTACTTCATTTTCCTCAGTGAAATCCACTCACGTCGTGTCGTTCAGTTAGTGTTTTCAAACCATTTGAAAATCATCAGATAACCCTCTTGACCTGAAGAAGGGAGAGTGCTTGGAGAAAGCCATCGTTAATGACCTGAGTAGGCTAATTACAACATGAGTTTGCTGTTCCCTGCTCCCTCTCTGACCTCTATTATCCTTCCTAAGTACTCTTTGACTTCAGCAAAGCCTCTTCATCCTCTTCAGTGTGTCTTGCCTCTTTTTCCTTCTCTTTTGTCATCTTCAAAAGATACTGCTGCAGGAATGTGAGACTGGTGGGCTTTGGGAGACATAAGCAGGTGGAAGGAGTCTGTGAGGAGTAAATAACAAATTTAGACTTAAATGGGATGTGAAGGGTAAGGAGAGAGGTGAAAAAGGATATAGATGTCTGTAGGATGAGAAGGTAAAGATTATTGCTGAATCTAGACCCATCCTCAACTATTGCTCATTGCAGGTCTCTCATCTCCACCCCAGTGCCTTGTTCATACCAGCTGCTTTCAGAAATGGTTCATTTGGAGGCAGAGGGAGCGTTGGTATGTATAGTAAAAAAATCTGAGAGGGATTCCTGAGGTAGAACAGGGGCTCCATCTATCCCTCTGTCCGAAATCTTAAACTGGAGTGGGAGTGTGCAATTGAGGACTAGATGTTGTGGCTGAAGTAGGAGGCAGGTGTGTGAACTGAGCATCCCATTCTGAAAGGAGGATGAAGCCGAACCAAACTACGTGGTGACAGATGGCCAACATCAGGAACCAGATGGCCCAGGGAGTCCCACAATTCCTGCTATGCAATAGCAAGTGGAGGAGAAGCCCACAGTGTAGTCCAAAATGTTTTTACACTCTTGTGTAATAGCGACTCATGGTTTGTAAATGATGTTACACCTAGAAATTCAGTCTGTGATGGCTGGTTCATGAGCCAGCATGGGCTGCTTGCAGGAAGGGTGACAGATCTGAGACCCAACTTACTTTTACAAATATGTCTACATGTGGCTCATCAGCTAACATGCCTCAGTGGCTTACAGGCTGTGCAGAGCTACCTTGCACTAACACTTGGTTAAGGTCTTATCTAATTGATTGTATCCACGGATGATCACTGCAGCTGTTTCAGGGTGTATAATTATGAGTAATAATGTGCTTATTTACAAATGTGTGTAGCCTCCCTTATCTCAAACCGCCTTTCTTTTCTGCGGTGGTCCACTTCGTGAACCTGAGCACTGTAATCTAAAAGTTGCAGGGCAGTGTGGATGCACGCTGATTCAGGCACCCCTGCTGTGGCTGGTTGCCCTTCCGGTTGCCCTTCCGATCTGTGGAATGTGTAATCGTGGTAATACCAATATTAACCTCTGTGTTTTGCAACTCTTACTGTGTCTGTATTTGTGAAGTCTTGCCTCTTCCTTGCTTAGAGGCAATAAAAGCCACCCAAGACTTGGAAAACTTAAAACACAAACTGAGAATGATGTGAAGGAGAGCAGATTTATAGCTAGAATGTCCCACTAATTCAAGCCTCATCTGTTTGGTGCCCTGTCCTGAGAACAGATTTCAAAGTGGTTCTGAAGTGCTAATCTAGTACTGAAATTTGGATTTGCTGTTAATGTCAAGTTTATTACGAGATGTTTTGTACATGTGTGAATACATGAAAACTTGCTGGGAGGGATTTGTGTGTTTTGTACACGGGGCATGTATTTTTCAAATTAAAAGCTTAAGGTTCTGTTGATCGTTAGGGCAATATAGTATAAACACAACATATAAACACAAGCACCTTCCAACAGTGCATTAAGTGATGCCACTAACTGGTCAGCAAATTAAATATAAAGACAATACAATCCAGACCGGATAGCTTTGGCTGGCACTTAGATCAAATGGAGAGGTTTTCCCTTTCTCATTAAATCTGGCATAAAAAGGACAGTGATTGATAGCTATTAAAAGCACTAAAGCTTGAAAGTGTTAGTCAGCTTGTTTCTCAGGAGAGGCTGTATTTGAGAGGAAACTAGGATTTGGGATTCGTGTGTTGTGTCTGTTGAACTATGGAAGTGTGTGCCAAAGGCTGCTTTCTTGCCTGGGAGCTCCAAGCCCAGTGTGCATCTTCTGTAACTCTCTTCTCAGACACTGAATGCATTTGAAACATGATACCATTACTTCTGATGCACCCGCATTAAATGTACAAAAATCAAATGTCCCTAATTAAAACATTTGTAGGTCTGGTTTAGTAACCGTCGCGCTAGATGGAGGAAACAGGCAGGAGCCAATCAACTGATGGCTTTCAACCATCTGATCCCAGGAGGATTTCCGCCCAGTGCCATGCCAACTTTGCCGACGTACCAGCTCTCTGAGCCCTCCTATCAACCCACCTCCATACCGCAAGGTACAGTAGCCAACAGGTACTTGGTTAGCACAGTGTTACTGAGGGTTTCCTGTGTCGATCCATTGCAGAGACATTTTCTTCTCTAATGTAGAAAAAGGGGTGTTTGCTAATTTAGGGTCTGAGTCAGTGAGGACCTTGCAAGCCTGCTTATTTTAAGCATGTAAGAACTCAGGTTTGTTTTGCTGCAAGAAAGGTGTGGTTACAGGTGAAGGGTGCTAGCTAGAGAAACAGCAGCCTGATGCATAACAGAGGTGCAGTGTTTGGTAAAGCGATGTACACGCTTCCCTGCCCTTCCGCCGCGCTGACCTCCTCCACTGAGAGCGCCTGGCGTGGCAGGGAACGGCGCCGCAGCTGCATTCTGTCGTTTTTGTTGCTTTCGATGATGGTGCACTGGAAACTTCTGTGAGTACTCAGAATATTTATCTAATGGTGGAAAACCTCATCTATTTAGACCGTCTTTTTTCACATCAGATAGTAGCAACTCTCAATATGGTAAAGAATTTGTATTAACCTTATCAGAAACTCTGTGAAGTTTGATGGATTTAGGGAGGAGGGGAACAGAGCTTCAAATCCAGGCTATTCTAGGTTTTATTGTTGAAGAAAAACCTTACAGGTGAGTTTTTGGAAGACAAGTTACTGTGCTCTCTTTGCTCCCTCCTTGAGATTTGGATCATAACTCTTGGTGGATGTTTTTGCCAGGCCACGTTCTAATTAAGGGAATTTTGCAAAGCCCAGGACTTCTGCCATCCGTTGCTAGGTTTACTGCAGATCACAGCAGAATTTCTGTGCTGTGACCAGGAAGGGAAAGCCTGTTACCAGTCTTCTAAGCAAATTAAGATTTTCCTTTTTATATGTGTGTGTGTGTATATATAAAGTATGTTATCTTGTATATGATATATATATAAATATAAAGTTTCTTTTTAGTTTTGCTGTAGCAATTCTGAACAATATGTACCACTGAGGATTGTCTGAAAACTGCATGTTTCTGTTGTTGTAATTTTTACAGTCTTTTAAGAATTTTTATGTAATTTAACTGGCCTGTTAAATATCTAGCAATATTAAAGACCTGCCTTTCTATTTAACCAGTATTTACATGCAGGTTCTGATGGAATTGTGTCAAGTTGAGCTTCACATAATGAACTTGTTATGCCAGAAAAAGGGAGGGAAATGTATCAACGTGTTTCTTTTGCTTCTAGCCGTGTCTGATCCAAGCAGCACCGTCCATAGACCTCAGCCTCTCCCTCCAAGCACTGTACACCAAAGCAGCCTCCCTTCGAATCCAGAGAGCAGCTCTGCCTATTGCCTACCCAGCACCAGGCATGGATTTTCCAGCTATACAGACAGCTTTGTGCCTCCGTCCGGGCCCTCAAATCCCATGAACCCTGCCATTGGCAATGGCCTTTCACCTCAGGTCAGTCCTGTGTTTTCAGACAGAGGATTTGCTGTATACCAGAACCAAAGAGTCTATTCCCTCAGGCCACAGCATAATGAATTGCCAAATTTAAACCATAATGTATTCTTTATACAAGCCACATGATTTCAGTTTGCTAGTTTCCTTCTTTTTTTACTTTTTTTCCTCTTACTGGCTGAATCAAGAGTCATAGCTTATATTTAATTTCAAGCGATTTATAATGTAATCATGCAGGCTTCATGTTTACATTCAGTTGTCAAGCATTTGTAATGTGCTGCTATTTTCCTGAAGATGAATGGCTAGGTACAGAAAGTAGATCATGTAGGTGTTTCTACAAATAAAATATCTCTTTAAGATAACCTCACCAAGGTTTTACCAAATGCTTCAGGAACATTACGGGCAAGTTGTACGAGGAGAGTTCCAAGGGCTGAGCAGTACACATTGAGATGAACCGTAATCGAGTTATAAATACATAAATTAGGAGTATTACTGCTCTTTGGCAATATATAAATGCATGAATACCATAATTGTTTTTCTAATTTGCATGAGCTCTTTTTAGGAAATCATGTTAATAAATTGCCTTGATAATTGAGTGTCAGAAGGTTGGTTAAATTTTCCTACGCGTGGCATCTGTCTGAAGCTGACATTATTAGTTAAAGCTTGAATAGATGGTAGTTTATTTTATTAGCAAGAGCTTTGCCCAGGTGCTTGGAAAGAGATGTCCACTAAATTCTGAGAAGTCACAAAGAGGATGCAATCTATAATTACAATCAGGAATCTCTTCAGGGCTGAAAGTGAGAGTTTTAACAGCTTTATCTGCTTTCTACCCTTTTTTCCTCTCAGTGGTTAGAAAAACAGAGAGAAGCTCAGAATGACACAAATGAAAAGTGAAAAGACAATTATACTCAATTACACACTAATCACTGACTATCACCACTGCCTAAGCAGGGAGAGGGCATTCTAATAGGCAGAAAATGAGATTTTAATGGCACAAAGGGTGGCCAAAATAACGACTCATATATCTTTGCCTCCTTCGTTTTCTTCAACTTGTGGTTTGCATCTCGGGAGTACAGTTCCTGGTTCCTGTGCAACGGTGATAACTCTGTGCAGCTGAAAAGTTCAAAGGCACTGGAGTTGAAAAGAATGAATAACAAAGGCAATGAAATAAACATTTTTGCCCAAAGGCAAAAGTTCATAAACCCTTTTTTGTAACAGTAAATGTAATTAAGTTTCACAGATTCCTATAGCACAGAGTGGGGTACAAAACTTTATGGCTTGAAACCTCAGGAAAAAAATACCAACAGAAAAACAAACGGATGTACTTCCAACAAGACTTGAATGGATTTTGTTCTAAAGAATTCTGATTTCTAAATGCAATCTCTAACAAAAGCCATGACATTATATTAGTTGTGTCATTTTTTTTTTTTTTTTAAATGGCCAGTTTTGTAGTGTGCAAGGCTTCCACAATTTTGACATAAACATCTTTCTGGGATTCAGCATTAATCCATCAAAAGTAGTTGTTAGTGTCAGTTTAAATGTGTGTTGGTTCTGGCTATGGAAACTGTGATCTTTTTTTCCTTTCACAAAGCTTTTATTGTGTGTGCCGCACAAGTGGAGCACAACAGTAAAGAAATCTTGTGGTGTCTGGGCAAAGTGAGACAAAAAAGTGAGGCCAGGTTTCCTCCCCCCAGAGTCTTGCTGATTTGAGGTTTGATATAATCAAAAGAAGATCCCAGAGCAGATTAGACATCTTTAATCAGTTACTGTGCTTCTTTACACCCAGCCCTATCTTTACTCTGTGAAATGTCTGATTTTTGTTGTTTTTCCTTAGACTTTTGAAACCTTTTCCTACCCAAGTGCTTAGAGCTTCTGGCCCTATCCTGCATCTCTACCAACAGGTCTAGGAGAAGGCTGATCACTCAGAAGCTGAGGTTGTGTTGATCACTGAATGCGTACAGGAGATTACTTATATCCATTTAGATTTTGAACAGCTTCTTCACAACTGAATGATTACCTTTGTTGGCCAGTAAAGATATTTCCATCAAACAAACAAAAATCCCAGCCCTAAATTCACTCTGTGTTACCGACAGCTCCTTTAAACCAAACTGTTTTGGGGCCTGAACAATGAGTTAGAGACATGTATGAAACGTAAGCATGTATAAAATGGCATGCCTAGGCTTTGTGTTTGTATGAGGGAGTGATACAGCCTCGAGTATGTAAATTATGTGCAAGAAATTATGGGCCTCTAGCAAAACAGCAATTGTGCTTTATGCTCGAAAGAAGAGCCTCAGACGCCGGTCACGGCTGGGCGCCGTCTCCGTGTGTGAAATGCCCCTGAGTCGTGGGGGGTGTCACAGCGCATCTCCTGGGCGCGCTTCCTCGGGGTGCTTCCTGCAGGCGCTCGGGTGGCCGGCAAGCCGAAAACCAGTTCTGCGTTGGGGAGTTTGCGGAGAGAGAAACAGGAGGTTTACTAAAGGCATGTTGCAGTGCCCTGCCTGTGTGTGTGGAATTTAGATGAGAAGGAAAGAAGGTCTTTTTACTAGCCAATGGATTTTTGACCACAATAAATCTGGGTGTGTGAGCAATTAGCATAATGTTTCCACCCATCAATGTCCTCTCAGGCAAGCGCTCTGGACATACTGTGTGTAAAGCTGAATTTACGGTGACTTGGGAGGGAGGGGGGAAGGGCACTTTGTCGGAAGCCCAAATAATCTTTTGTGATGTAAAAAAAACCCCAAACACCTCGGAACATGCAGAACAAAATCTAATATGAAGATTCATGGGATCATGTTCCTACCAGGCTTAAACCCTGTTTTCCTCTTGACTTCAATTTATTCGAAATGAGGGGCTGACATGCAGAACCCCCAGGGAAGCTTTATTTTCCACACGAGGTATTTCCCTTCTAACTCCGTTCTTGAGTATGTTGGATGAATATGTTGTTTCAGGGAAGCACTCGGTGAAGGCAGAGGACAAAGGGAGGTGGCTAGAGTGCTGTAATTTTATTTTTATCGTCTTAGCCGTGAACTTAGAAGCTAGAGAAGATGGTATATTTTGGTCAGTTTTAGGAAGCAGAATACTCCATAACATAGCTGTCTTGCAGGCTGGGAAATAAAATGTTGTTGCTGTTGTTTAAGAGAATAGGAAGAGTCCCAGCTTGCTAATAGTATTCAGCACTTTTTAACATGAAGACAGCATCTGCAGATCTCTTCCATATGACTGATCATTCTGCTTGTTCATCTGGTTTACTTGTTGCTACCTGGCTGTGGTGAGAGGACCTCTGTCTTACAGACCTGCCAAGGGTCGACTTTTGCAGGAATAAGACAGAGATTAATGTCTCGGGGAACCGATAGCCAGGAGTGTCCTGGTTGGTATTTCATGAAAAAGCCACCAAACTGCAAGGATGCAATCTCAGCCAGAGCTTTTTAAATACAATGTCAGAACAGAGATTATTAGTGTGTAATATATGTAAATTGCATATTTTTGTGTTTTCTACGCTTGTTATGCAGCTTCTTGGCTTTCATGCATACGTTTATGGGAATATTGTATTTCCTTTTCAAATTAGATTTCAGTTGCTCAGTGTATTTTCTTTTAACAAACATTTGTTAATTTAAATGTTATTAGGGAGTAGCATATCTATGTGTTAATACATGTGTATAGGACTTAAGTGGGCCTCAGAATTGGCACGTCACTTTTTGATCCCAGCATTAACAGCGATCAACAATTCTTCCATAGAAAGCAGAAGAGCAACTGCAAAAACACTTGTCTGGCAACTGCAGGTGTATGGTCTTATTAGAGAGCAGAGTGTTTTTAAGACAGGGTATCAATATTTTGAACTGCTTCATTTAAGATAAGCAAAAAGTCTTTTCCGGTGTACACGGGCATCCCTTGACCTTGTCATGTGCTTTTTATTAGTGTCAAAGCAGCAGAGTTTGCCCTACACCAGGCGGTTCAGTTTGCCGGTGTTGAAGCGTGCCGTTTTGGACTGCTCGTGGATTCAGGTGGAGCTGCAATACTCTGCTCGCATTGCTGCCTGTGAGGCTGCTTGCTTCCTGGGTTTAACCTGTAGGATACCCAGGCTTAAATAGTACTGCAGTGTTAATTTTTTTCTGGAAAAAGAACAAACGTGTAACCTGTCACCTGCTGGATATAGATTTTTTTGTTTGTTTTTTCCCCTCCTTGCCCTTGAAAAAAATTGTTTTTCCTCTCCCTTGTCATCTGCCCCCATAGCTGAGTCAAGGCTGCAGTTTCAAACTGGGAAGTGGGTTGAATGTTGAATGAGTTGCGTAGAAGATCGTAACAGTCTTTAACAGAGTTTGCAGTTCTCATGCTGTTACCTGGAGCTCAGGAATAATCTTCATAAGATAATTCCAAACTTTTCTGTGAACAGTAGTAAAGATGCAAGCTATTTCAAGATTTCTTTCTTCTACTGTCAAAACATTTCACTGCCTGAGTTTAAGAACTATCCTGGAACTCTCTTTGGTGAGGTAGATCTTAGGCAATTGGCTTCTCTTAAGTTTTGAGAGCACTTGGTTTTCATTAACCTGAAGTATGGATCTGCTGGCAGCTGTCGAATCAGTTAGATATGTTCATATTGTCTTGTTAACTCTGCTTTTAAGGGAAACACAGGAACCGGTGGCTAAAAACTTGCATTCCCTCATCAAGAGGGAGAAGAGGGGGAAAAAAACCCCAACTATTAATTTATTACCCGTTTTCCTGTACCTTCTGTCGAATTACTGTCCAGCTGGTTGCCCAAAGAAACATTTCATTTAGATCCAAGTTGCACACCAATGAGAAGCTCGTCATCTTTGTCACAATGAACTTGGCCTTGAGAGCTCTTCGCTTAATGACCCAAGAACATGAGACAGAGGTCAGGGATTTCTCTGTGAGGAGGAAAGTTAATTCACATGATATCATTTTCATGAACACGAGTTTTTGTTTTTGTTTCATTTTTTTTAATTTTAAAAAAAAGTTGAGCCAATGGGATTCATTATTTCTGTTTC